TGGCCCCGCGCCGCTCTCTAGGGTCCTCTGAGGCGGGCGGGCATGGCCCTCGGGGGACGCGCCCTGGCGCCCCCGGACAGGAGCACTCCTCAGCGCCGGGCCCCCATGCGTGGCCGGAGGGCCCGGCGAGAGGCGACCAGGAACCAGGCACGGGGTCGGGCCTCAGCGGCAGCGGGTCATGCAGCGGTGCTGGCGACGACGGGAATTCCTCCTCCACCTCCTCCACGTCCCGCGGGGCAGGGGCGCCGACCGCGCCTCATGCCGCGGGGGCTTCCGGGGGTGGGGGTGGGGGGGCCGACTCCCAGCCGGATCCTCCGACCCTCGGCCCGGGCCGCACTTTAAGGCGCTCCTCACGACGTCACTGGCCTCCCGCCCGACGTCCAACAGCGCAGCTCTTCAGTGGGTTTTTGGGCGCGCACGCGCAGTGTAGTCAGCCGCCGCAGGGCCCCGCGCTACGGGCATGCGCAGAGGGGGCGGGCTGGCCGGCAGAGGTGCCTGCGCAGGCGCACAAGGGGACGCTCGTCGTCTGCCACCCCTCCCCCACTCGCTGAAGGGCTTCGAAGGAGCGCCGTCAAATGGCACCCTGACCCAAAGCCTCCAGGTCGAAAGGGTTCCCTCCGCAGGGGTGCGCTCACACTGTCAACGCCGTCGCTATGCGGTGTCACGACATCGTCCGAAACGCGTAAACGCCACAGCCCCCAGAGCGCAATCACCGGGGAACCGCCACAACCTCGGCTGCTCGGTTACCGCCCCCTTTGGCGCTTTCACTCTTTTAATTGGGCCGCTGGTTACTGACTGGGCGTGCTCAAACAGGAACTTCCTGAAGTTGGTTGGTTACTATGCCTGTCAATCAAGCTGTCGCCATAGCTACTGCGTCCGTCATTTAATTAACAGGAGGTGGGGGCAGGGCGGAGAGGACCCCTGAAGGGCATATGGGTGGCTAAGAAAGTGCCTGAATAGAAGCCGGAGGAAAGCCTTCATGACACTTAGGTAAACTTCTGAAACCAGCGGAAACTTCTCAAACTAGGGTCGAGAGCACCAAACCCCAGCTCTGAACCCGGATGGACACGTGTCTGGGGTAAACCTCTGGCCGCCGCTATAGACGGGAGCGGACGTTTCCCTAGTCACGTCCCGGAGGCGGTGGGCGCGTGCGCAGCCTCGGGAGCGCGCCGGGGGCGGGGGTCGTCTCTGCGCCTCCTCAGGAATAGTGACTAATAAGGGGGTCCTTCAGAGATCGTCTGGGAAAAACTTTAAGGGAATCCAAAGTTTTGAAAGAGTGCGGTCGTGCGGGAAGACCACGTGAGCAAAGGCTCTGTGAGATGCGCCCGGCAGGTCCAGCAAGACGGTGTTCCTGTTGGAAAGCCTCTCCTGGCTCCTCAGGAAGTAGTCCAGCGATTCTGCTCGGGGTTGTTCACGAACCCCCTCCGACCTTGCCTCCTTGCCTCTCTATCTAGGCTATATTGAGACCTGCCTCGCCCCTACACTGCCAGGTTTACAAACATCACGCTGCTCCACCTCCTGACCTTTGCCTGAGCCGGCTCTTCCTCCTGGAGCGCCAGTTCCCGGCCACACGCCTCCATTTTGATTTGGAGGTTCTGCACACCTCCGCCCAGCATCTGAATGCCTCCCCAGATGAACCCCTGGCATGAAATGTATCTTAGCTTTCAGGACCCGGCCTCAGTAACTGCCTTGAGCCTTGCCTTCCTCTTTTGCTCCGGGCCAGTGACATATTCCCCATACACTCCTCTGTGTCAGAGAAAGCATGAACTCTGGGAGCCGATGGACACGGGTTAGGACCTCGCCATCCTGAGCAAAAAACTGCCACACTCTGAACCTGGTTTTTTGTCTGTGAAATTGGGAGGAACACGAGTATCCACTTCATACAGTGGTAGTGATGATCTGAGGTCCTGCAGGTTAAGGGCGAAGGTGCGTTGGTTCGCTAGCCTTCCACATCACGTGCAGCGAGTTGCAGCCACCACCCATCGGTCAGTGGAGGCTTTAGGCTTTGCTGTGATGCTGCACAGGTTTCAGTACAGCTTCCAAAAACGGACTAGGAAGAAAAGCCTGGTGATCTACTTCTGAACATCAGCCAGTGAAAACCCGATGGATCACAATCCAATACGCAACTAATCGTGGAAATGGCACAGAACCAGGCAGCACTTTGTACTGTTTTGCATGGAGTGAGGGAGCCAGGTGAGTGGCAGCTAAGAATGTTAGGCAGAGGAGATTGCTGACAATGATCCTAGGCCTCAGCTTCCCCATCTAGAAACTGGGTCCCACCACTCTGTTGGAACGTGAAGGTTGTGTGGTGACTTGCCAATGCCAGGCCGGCAAGGCCTGTGGGATGGCAAAGCCCAGACACCTGGCACCCAAGCCCTCTCACCTGGCCACTTCTATTCTGATAACCATCTGTAGCAGTTGCAGGGGAAAATAGAGCAAGCATGCAGTTAATTTGGTTCCCGCCCTTTTAAAATACAGACGGAAGGAGCCCTGGTAGCGTTGAGATTACATGTTGGGCTTCGATCTGAAAGATTCAAAGTTTGAAACCACTAGGCACTGCTTGGGAGAAAGATGGGGCTTTCTACTCCCATAGTTAGTCTCAGAAATCCACAGGGGCAGTTTGACCATGCCCTATAGGGTTGCCATGAGTCAGAATTGACTCGATGGCAGTGAATGGGGGTCGGGGAGGGTGGGTACTAGACAGGTAGCTGCAGGCAGGCATGGAGAAGATAGCCAGAGACAGCTTTTCTGTTTGCGGGGAGGAGGGTTAATGTGAAGGCTTAGTTAGGCCCCTTCAGAAACTCCATTCCTACCTCTCCCCTCAAAATGATCCTCCAACAGGAAGGCATCAGACTGCACTCAGACCTGCCTGATAAGAGGACTCTACCCTCATAATCAGAAAATCCTTCCAGGGAATACCTCCTGGAGCCCTGGCCCTGCTCCTCCAGGCAACCATGGAACTCGCTTCTTCTCCGAGTTGAGACAGCCCCTTGTATCCCAGACACCCCCTTGGTATGGGGAGCAGAGAACAGGAAGAGAGTGTATGTGGATGAATCCTTTATTCTCATTCATTAAGGAGTCTGGCAGGCTGGGTTTCTGGGGTGGAGGGAGGCCTTCACCCTTGTGAGTTGGAGATGAGTCCCAATCACAGTCTCATAATTAATATTGTTCCCCACTATAACCTCCCATAGTCGGGCTACCTTAGTTACCTCTAACAAGCACATGGCTGATGGCCATGTAGCCTGCAGCTTTAACTATAGCAGCAGACTTGTGCTATTGCCGTCTAGGCTCTGAAGACAGCCACACTCTCTTACCTGCCCCAACACTGGTGTTCGGTTACTCAGGGACCTTTAGGTTAGGGTACAGCTCACTTTGTTACATATGTAGTTACCTGTACTTAGGAGTGCTTGCATGCCCCTGGAATGTATATAAGCCTTAGTTGGAAATATATTCTCTGTCTACCGGACCTGGCTCCTGAAGTCATGGCGTTCCTGAAGGTGAGCACTTGAATGCCTTATCTTGTCTCTTAATTTACCCCTCAATTACCCGTTTGTGGGGGCTGGTACCCCACACGTTGGAAACATCCATGGAATCTTTCCTATGTGCTCTTGAGCTGGGGCCCTCCCCTCTGTGAGCCTTCTGTGAGGGATAGCCTAGACTCCAAAGGGTTTGAATTTTCAGACCATTGAACTAGTTGCATAGCCTTGGGCAAGTTGCTTCACCTCTCTGGGTCTCTGTTTCCCCATATATATAAAATGCACATACTCATAGAACTCACCTCTTTGAGGGTGTTTTGTGGATTCAATGGGTTAACTCATGTAAAGCATAGTGCTTGCCATATGATAAAGCTTGGCAAAAATTAAAAATGAGAATAGATCCTTCCCACCTCAGCTGTTTTATCCCCATACTAGCTATCTAGTGATGGCCACTTAGCAAACACTTGCCCGAGAGCTTCCATCAGTGCTTTCACTTGACAGAGGAAGAGAAGGAGTGAGACTCAGAGAACAAGCAGTTTGCCCAGGTGCAATGCTTTGAATTACTTAATATGGCCCTTCTACCCCAGTCTTTGTAGCTCTCACCACAGGACTATGAGCCCGTGTAGGGCTATGCAAATCTAAAGTGCTTGTGCCCTACCAAGAAATTGGATGGCTTGCTAATAATGTAAATAAGTACATGGCCCCCTTGTGGGGCCATGCAGATAAGATGTATTGGTCATTTTGGGGGTATTGGTCAGTTCTGCCATCCTGCTATACTTAAAATGAGCCATCCAACAGACAAAGGGTGGGGAGAGTGTCTCACTATCATCAAAAGAAAAGCCAATGTGCAGCCATTGTGGAAAGTGGTATGGTGCTCCCTCAAACCGGGAGTAAAATTTCCATATGATCCAGCAATCCCTCTGCCAGTATGCCCTCTAAAGACATCAGTGCCATAGCCCAAACAAACACATGCACTCTCATGTCCGTTGCAGCACTGTTCACAGTAGCAAGAAGATGGAAAGAGCCTACATGCCCATCAGTAGAAGACTGCATGAAGAAACTTTGGTACATGCACACAATGAAATATTGTGCATCACTAGAAAAACAATGATGACACGACAACGCACCTCATGACATGGATGGGCCTGGAGAGCATGATGCTGCATGCAGCTAGTCAGCCACAGAAGGACAAACAGGGTGAGTCCACTGCTATAAGGATGAAAACCAAGATGAAGGCTTGCACACCAAACGGAACAGACTTTGCAGGTTGCCACAGGCAAGAGGGCCAGAGAGAAGATGAAGCAACAGACTCGTTAACAGGTGTTGACATGGGTGAAAGGGAGAGGGGAGGTCCATAAACGGGAGGAATCCGTGGAAAAGAGGGGGATGGAATACAAGGAAGGGGGGAGGTTGATAAGTAGTTTGAACTGTTGAATGTAGTCGGTGGTCTGAAATATGAACCCTCTACATAATTCACCCCACAAAAATAATTTAAAACAAAAAGAGGGAGCAGGAGTGGGTCCTCTGAACCCATGGACCCTGTATTGAACCTCCCTGATCCAGAAGACTGAAAGCTGGAACACTGGGAATAGAGGGAATCGGTGGCAAAGAAGTGGTGGCAGCAGAGCCAGGACACTGGCAAGAGACAGAGCAGTGGGCTTCCAGCCCACAGAGTGAGAAAACTGAGTGCCTTCAGGCAGGAAGCTTGCTGGCAGAAATGACATGCCTCCAAACACTTGTCTGGGGAGCTAGGTGTGCCGACCCATGGAGCTGAAGTGCCATCAGCAGAAATTTACTGCTGGAGGGAATGCCTCAGGGCACATAATGAGCAAAAACAAAACAAACACTTTAATATTTGCCACAGCACAGCAGGGGCTGAGCTTAGGGTCCAAAGGCTGGAGGCATTCCGGCAAGCATGCCTGGCAAGAGGCAATCCTAATGAAAGAACTGTATCCCGAGTGTTCCTGATCTTGAATTGTAACCAGAACCAGTTAATACCCTAGTAACCCAATTACATTGTGAGTTCTGTGCGACCTAGTGGAGAAGTAGTGAGTGCCACGAGAGGGACAGCTGGTGTCAGAATCGGTAAAATTGTTGGAGGGTGAAAGTTGATCTACATTCGCCTCATAGGAATCCACACTGGGCTGATGTAATCCTCCTCTGTCCCCTGTGAGTAGAGGTCATATTCTACTTGTGCTATGCCATTTACACACAAGGCCACACAGCTCATCAAGAAATGGTTAAATTTGAACACAGACTTCTTTGGCTCCATAGCCTGGGCCTTCAACCACTGGATCAAGGGAGGGGAAAAATGAGGACCTAATGCCGGGGTCTTAAGTGGAGAGGAAATGTTTTGAGAATGATGAGGGCAATGAATGTACAAATGCGCTTCACACAATTGATGTGCATATGGATTGTGATAAGAGTTGTATGAACCCCTAATAAAATGATTAAAAAAGAAAAAAGTGTGTAGGATAAGGTAGGTGTCCCTGATGGGGAGACCAGTAGGGTATGTGGGATGGCTCCAGCCGTGTCTCACTTGGGGCAGCAATGAGGTCCTTCCTGTTACTTCTGAGTGCCCAAGTACCACCACACCCATCTGGGATGGCAGGCCTTCACAAATGCAAATGACAACAAATCGTTCCTCCTCTACTGTTCACCTTCATCACAGGCCAGGTACCCTTGGAGCTGGTTATCCCTGCTCTGAGTCTCCCATACTTGCCTAAGATCTTGCTTTTTGTGTAGTGGTCCAAATCTCTATTTGGAATGTTCATCCCTCCCTCCTTTATACTGAGCCAACTCCTACTCATCCTTTAAAACCCAGCTCCAATGTCCCATTCTCTAGGATGCCATTTCCTAGACTTCCTCCCTTCATGACACCACTCCTGAACCTCCTGTGGCAGTCCATCAGTGATGGGGGCCTAGTGCTGTGGCCATACAGGGATAGAAAGTTGGGGTCCTCAGGGAGAGGTAAGGGCTCTGTTGGTAACTCTGTTCATGGGCAGGAAATCAGGAGCACAACTGAGCCCCCAACTCCTGCCTCTCCCTTCTGTCTTGCTTCCTAGCCACTTGGCAATGTCATGGAGGAAATGACTGATGGATACCTTTTATTTGCACAGAAATGACCAAAGGTCCCATATCCAGATCGAAAGGAAGCCAAGGGGATGACCTGAGAAGGCTATGGGGAGCTGGGATGTGGAGTCCAGACAGATTTGTCCATCAGACCCTGAGAAAGCCATAGACTTAAGTCCAGCTCAATTGAGGCCCTGGGTGGCAGGCAGTCTTCGCAAAGCCTGCCGTGGTATGTATGGTAGCAGGAGGCCCCATCCCGTGGTCCTGTCTTCTGCTTAGTTTCATCTCAACTCTGGACTGGTCCTTCAGGGCTCTTGAGTGGCTCCTCCTGCCTCCTCTTGGCCCTGGCCCCTCACAGACACCGAGTCTTCTAGCAGAGGACGGCTGGAGCCTAGGGCTGGTCAGAGCAGGGTGATTTCGCTCGGAGGCAGCGTGAGTCGCTTCTCACGAGCACTGAGCAGGTTCTCCACATGGGCGGCCACCACGCGACACAGCTCCAGACCCTGCAGGAGATACAGTGAGAATCCCCACCTGTCCCACTACCTATCTACAGACTAGGAGGAGCAGCCCATGGTCAGGGGATAGGGAGGAGCGCATCCACTAGGCGTGTGGCAGGTGTAGAAAGGGCAGCGAGGTGCAGGGATGGTTCAAGATCTCCTCATACAGCTTGTTAGAGGCAGCCAGGATGGAACCTCAGGTTTGTCAGCTGCAACGGCCACTGCACTTGGACGCTGCCTCCTCCTGGGAACCATACCTGATGACCTCCTAGCATTATCTCCAGATCCCTTCCTGTTCATCTCCCCCAGGAGACTCAGAGCTCTGGGAGGGTGTAAAGTCAAGGGTCTGACACTGCTGCAGCTGGTGCAAAGCCTGCTGCCTGGAGACGTTCCAGGGTTCTGAGTTAAATGAGTGAGTGCATGAACGCGTTCCTCTCACATGGAGCTGGGGGTTGGGGGTGGGGGGCAGCAGAGGCCTCCATCCACTCATCCACCATCCACCAGGTGTCTGCCCCACCCCACCACCCCAGCTGTGTGCCATGGATACAGGGGAGTGGGAGGCCAAACCTTGCCCTTTGGGACTGACGCTCTGGGAAGGGCACTGTGTAAGCAGACAGAGACTGACCGGAGAGGGGAGGCCAAGGTGATTGTGGTGCTGAAAACTGAATTAAGGAAGAGAGGGAGCCTGGGGGATGTGATGAGGGAAGATGTTGGGGTGAGGGAAAGAGGGACCAGGGTGAGGCTGGGGAGGGGAGGGCAAGCTTGACCTCAGGCAATTCCAAGAAGCCAGGAGCTGGAACAGAGAGATGAGAGGGAGGCCAGAGGTAACAAGAGGAGGGGGAAGGGTTGAGAAGGACCTGTGGATTTGGGGTGTGAGTGGCTGGAAACTTGGGGATCAGGAGGTAAGATGGAGAAGCTTGTTCTCTGGAGGGGCTCAGGGTCCAAGCAAGAGTTAGATGTCTGAAGCCCTAGAAGCAAGGTGCCCTGGGGGAGACCAGGCAGAGCCCAGACTCTGCAACGTTTAGAGACCATCCAGGCAAAGATGCAGGGAACAGAGTCCCAGACAGGGGGTTAGAGGATGACATGGGGCATGGGGAGGTTGGAGGCAGGAGTCAGGGGAGTAAGCACAGGGTCTGGGAGGTCCTCAGAGGAAGCAGGACTTCAGCCTGGAGGAGTGGGACACCCCCCACCCCCATCGCAGGCTGCCAGAGCAGCAAGGGGGTTTCATTCTGGCCCTGTCCCAGGCTCAGGGATGGAGAAATTAAAGTCTCTCCCTCTTGGAACCCAATCCCAGGTCCAATTCTGTCTCTTCTGTGGGCCTCAACCCCATCTCTACAATGGGGTGAAAATGGGTCCTCCCTCCACCTTCCCTGGTCTGGGAGGCCTGGACGGGATCCCAGAAGGGGATGCATGCCATGTAAGGCGGAGCCCCAGTGGATGAGGAGAGACAGCGCCAGTGGACTTCAGTTTTCCTATCTGTCACATGAGAGACCCCACCATTCCCAGCCCCTAGTCCCAAGCCCTACAAGCTAACTTCCATGCCCTAGCCCAGGTCTATCTCCTCAAGACGGCTATGTCTCTCTGTAGCCCAGGGGAGAGTCCTAGGTCCTTTGAGGTCTGCCCTGTCCTGGCTGGGGCATCCCCAGGGCTCTGCACTCCTCACTACCCAGAAAGCGACTGGGACATTCTCTATGGTTCTGTGAACAAAGTGCTTTCCCGGAAGAGTCCCAGAAGAACAGATGGGATGTGGGGTGCTGGATTTGGTTTTGCCTGCACTGGGCTGTCTTTGAAGTCATGGCCAGGGCTGACCTGGTGGGTTGAATGAGTCACAGGGTAGGGGCTGGGCAGGCAGTAAAGCCTCAGGGCCAGGTGCACCTGCTCCAGCTGCAGCTGCATGGGCCTCTGGGCTGCCACGTCCCCCAGGGCGATCTCCACGTAGGGGTAGCTGGAGTTGGCTGTGGGCCGCTGGGTCCGGGTGGACTGGATGTCCTTCAGGGGGAACTTCACCATCAGCTCCTGGGAGTGGTGAGGGAGGGTGAGATGGGCTGTGGCCTGAGGACCTTCCCTCTGTGCCCCAGTGCCCTGAACCATTCTTCCCGCCCTCCTGCAAAGCAGCTCAGTAGAAGGCAGGGGACCCTGGTCCAAGGAACCATTCCCTGGTGACTTGTTCTGTGACCCTGAACATGCCCCTCTACTCTTCCTGGCCTCCGTTTCCTCACCTGTGAAATGGACAGTGCAAACAATGGCCAAGCCTTAGCGCTGTACCCCATGCCCTGCCCTGAATGCAGGGGGTCCAGGGGCGTGCGGGGTGCTGTCTTTGCTGATCTCCAGGACACACCAAAGCTTGCCTCTTGTGAACAGTTGTCACTCTGCTCTCGTTCAGGTCTCAGGCCACAAGCTGGACTCCCCGGAGGCAGAGCTAACGCCATCGGAAGGATCCCTCCACTGGAGGAACCAGGGAAGCGGTGGGTCCTGGCCCACTGTGAGGTGATCGTGTCCAAGTCCAGAACAGCAGAGAGCTGGGATTCCACACCGTCTCCCAGAGGGTCCCAGCCAGATGGCACTCCTGTTGCCCAAGCAACAGTGGCAACTTGCTTACTCGCTTGCACCCCACCCTCACTTGGCACCATGCCCGCCTTGCCAGTTCATCACAGTGTTTTCCAGGGTCGCCTCTACAGAATCCACTTGCCCCTGCCACCCTTGTCTCTGGGTCTGCTGCTGGGGACATATCTAAGAAACAGTCCCGCTGAGGGCACCTGCCTGCCAATCATCCATACCGGCCGGAGGAGGACAGTGAGGCTCAGAGAGGGCAAGAGGCTGGCCTGATGTCACGCAGGTGGGAATCAGTGATTTGGGCCCCTTGGGGTGCTGCTGGGAGGTGCTGAGCTGAGGGCCACTCACGTGGGTCTCGGTGCTGAGGAAGTTGAGGCCATTGTGGTTAACGGCAAGTATGCAGGGGGCTGGCACAGCCATGTTACTGCAGCTTTGGATGAAGAAGAAGGAGGAGCCAAACATGGGCAAGGCGCTGAGGAGGCCTGGGGTAGGGAGAAGGGTGGTGGTTACCAGGCTGTCAGGGCTCACTGGCCATAGCCATGGCCACCTCTGCCTTTGGCTGGGTCTGGCCCGGGAACCCTCAGTATGGATCCTCCCACTTCTGCGGCCTCCCATTTGGCCTGTTCCTCCATCCTTGCTCCTCTCTGTAGCTTCCAGCTCTCTACACCCAGGTCTATCCAGAAGCAGGGCCTCATCTGGCACCGAAAATACCTTCATGCAGAAGAAAAGGCACTGTGGATGAGGAAGGGGGAGGGATACCCTCCCTGGAGCAGTCCCAGTCCTTGAGGAACTGAACCCAAGCTACCTTGCTACTCAGCCAGGTATACCCTTGTGTAATGCTCTGCCTATACAGTAGCTTGGTGGCCCTCCCACCTGCCCCCCAGGGCTACCAAGAGCTCCATTTCTCTGAGGGCTCCACACACTCTAGCCCAGACGGTATGCCAAGCTCTAATTCAGCCTCTCCAGAGAACCACAGGCCCTCATCTGCCCCAAGACCTGCTTCTTCCCGGCATCCTCTGTGTGATGATCCTGTGCTACACTCGAAGAAGCTCCAGCTGGTTAGTGGGGTCCTCCTCTAGTCTCCTCCCTCCCTGACTCTTGCGCTCACCAAGAGGTGGCTCTCGACCCGTCTGTTTTCTGCTCCTGGACCACGTCCCAAGTCCAGCCTCCATCATCTCTGCCCTGGAAGCCTGCAGCAGCCTCTGCCCTGGTGCTTGGGGCTAGCCCTCTGAGTGTAAACCCAACCGCCCATTGCTACCGGCTCCCCAGTGCCTCTGGGTAAAGCCCTAGGCTTGCATCAAGTTCTCTTGTAGGTTCAGTCAGATTCTTCTAGCTAGTGGTTCTCAACCTTCCTAATGCCACCACCCTTTAATACAGTTCCTCGTGTTGTGGTGACCCCCCCCACCAACCACACAATTATTTTCACTGCTACCTCATCACTGTCATTTTGTAACTGCTTTGAATCGGGCGACTCCTGTGAACGGGTCATTCAACCCCCACCGGTTGAGAACCACTGCCCTCGCTAGCTCCAGCCCAGCCCTCCAGACTGCATGGTGACTCCACTCTACCATGGCATGCCCATCACATCACCATCTTCTAGGACCTCAACAAGCCCTGGGACCCTCTGCGCCCGGCCCCGGATTCTTACCCAGAAATTGGGCACGGGCCTGGTGTGGGCTGAGTGCCTGCGTCTGCTGCCAGTGCTGGTTGATCAGGCTGAGCCAGGCGGAGCCGGCGTTTGTGTGGTAGAGCTGGGCCGGGATGTACTCCTGGACTTCCCGCCTGGGCGAGGAGGGAAAACCTTCTCTGAGCACCCACCAACCTCCCTGGGAGGCTCAATGTGGGGTACAGACAGACTGAAGACCAGCGTAGTTAGGGGCTCACACACAGCGGGTGCTCCAGGCTGCTGGCCAGTACTTGCGTCCCTGAGTCGCAGTTGAAGAAACTGAGGGCAGTGAAGACTGCCTGGCCCAAAGCCATGCACGCAGCTGCTGAGTGAGGCAGGCCAAGCCCTGACCCTGAGGCGGCCTTGCCTTTTTGGAGCTTCTGCTCTGGAGGGGAAGCTCAAGTTGAGGATGAGCGGGGGCACAAGCTGGGGACACCAGCCAGGGACTGGTAGGAGCAGGAGCCAGAGGCACTCATGGGGGGACTCTGACACACGCTGGCTGGCGTCTCAGGCAGCTTCTTTCCCTCCTGGGGCATCGGGAGGCTAGCCACAGCAGCTCAGTCTGTCCTGGTGGCTGCCCTGGGCCACAGAAACGCAGGGAACCCAGCCCCGCCCCGCACCAAACGAGACCCCTCCCCAGGCAGCATCTTTCCTCTGGTCCATAGGCAGGCAAAGTCTGGCCTTCCCAGGTTTGGGTGCTGTTTCGCTCCTCAAGGAGTGAGCTGGGTAAACTTGGGAGAGCCAGGTACCTCTCTGAGCCTCATGCCCCCAATCCGAAAAAGAGAAAACCCGCGTGTGGTTGGGAAAATGAGCTGAGTTCAGGCATGCAGGGTGCTCTGACACAAGCAAGAGCCTCACGAGTCATTTGATCCAGGATTTTGGCCTAATCGCAGAAAGGATCTACACACTGAGCCCTTCCTGGGTCACCAGCCCTGGGATATATATTCATCCACCTGTTAGTCCATTTATCGTCATTTCACCAGTGGTCCTCAAAGCGTGGGCCAGGGATGAGGACTCAGAGCCCTTTCCCCAACAATGCTAAGAACTGTGATTTGCCTTTTCCCTCTCTTTCTCTCCTGAGTGTTGAGTGGAGTTTTCCTACAGCTCCAGGACAGGTGGTACCCCAGCTAGTGCAGGGGCTGCACTAAGAAGCAGGTGTGCGAATCCAGCTGTCTTCCAATAAGCCAGCAAGTACACACAAAGCAACATGCAAAACAGTGCACTCTTCTCAGGTGGCTTTTAAAAGAGTAGCTATTTTCTCAGAAGATGTTATGTATGTGAAATGTAATGGGTGTATTATTTTTTAATGAATGAAAAAAATTACTTTTTGGATGAGTTCCTGTTTTACTTTTAAACAGGATAACGATTGATAGGCTTCATCCACACAAGCAAAGAAATCTTTGCAGTCATATTTCTAAGAAATAAATACGTTGGCTCTCAAGACCAAAAGTGTGTGGATGACCGCTGCTTTGCCATCATGAGAAGTTAGCACATCTTTGAGAGCATCAGGCTGGAGGCTACCTGGGGTCACTTCACTAATGTCTATGGTGGGGCATCATTGGGATTGGCTCCAGGGTTGCATTGCTGATGCAATGCTACCTTGAACCCTTCTGGGGCTAAATCTTGCTGCATAGCCGCCAGGTATAGTACACATTCTGAAAGCTTTGTTTCACCATTAAATTTGCTCTGCGCTGTCAATACAGGCCATAAGCAATCTGTCGTGACGAGGGAAGTGGGAGGGGCTGTCCCAGATCATGTCTGAGTTTGGGGACTTTAACCCTACGGCCAGGACAGCCCCTGCCCACCTGGCCTCATTGTTAGAGACCTGGGGACAGGCAGGCTGGAGGATGTTAGGGGCAGAGGCAGGGCTGCCTGTCCATCTAGCTGACAGGTGATGGGTAGTGCTTACACACTGGGCAGGCAGAAACGGTCCTTGGTCCGGTGCTGCAGGGAGGCCAGCTTGGACACTTGCTGCAGCTGTTGCTCGCTGGGCTGGCTGGGCAGCACGCTGTTGAAGAGGCCCTTCAGGTAGTCAGGCAGGACCTGTGGGAGGCACTGATGAGAGGCTGTCAGGCAGACAGCCCGAGTTATTCCACTGTCCAGGCACTTCTGGAGCGAGATGCCAGTCACTTTTCAGGGCTTTGGGGAATGATGGCAGAAGGAGTTGAGAGAGAGGCGAGGACCAGAGGCCCCCAGTGCCCTGGGTAGGACGGGACGTCAAGGCAGAGCAGCATCAGTGCAGGGTAGGGAAGTGTCCATAGGTCAGGTGCTCTTGAACTTGAGCGTGCTCCCAAGTCACCCAGAGCTCCTTAGGACTGACTGCTGCCAAATGCAGTGACTTCCTGGGTGCCAGGGGGCGGGGCACATGGGGCGTGAATGCTGCAGGGGTAGGCGCTTCCTTTTGGGGTGATAAGACTCTTTTGGAACTAGGTAGAGGTGGGTGATGGTTGCAGAACATTTTGAATGTGGCAAATACCACTGAATTATATGATTTTTTAAAAAGTTAATTTTATGTTATGCGAATTTCAACCTAAGAACAAAACAAAAGAGCAAAGTTGCTGGGGTAGATCCCCAGACCCAAACCAAACCACGCCCACTGTTGTCAGGTCATTTATAACTCGCAAGGACCCTCTAGGACAGACTAGAACTGCTCTCCAGGGCTTCCATTTCCAAGGCTGGAATCTTCATGGAAGCAAACGGACACATCTTCCTGAGGAGTGGTGAGTGGGTTCAAACCACAGTCCTTTTGGCTAATGGCTGAGCACTTTAACCACTGGACCACCAGAGCGCCTACTACATGCCCAGAGACGAAGTCAGCAGATTTGGTCTTGAAAATGTTCACCTTCACCAGTTCCCAGGGGATGCGGCTAGGAACAACAATGTTCACGAAGCATCAGGCAGCACCAAACCACGTGATCTCAGTCTCCAACACCGCCACCACGTGGCCATAAAACCTAAGTGACTGTTTCGTACTTGGAATTATTGTAGCAAGTGGTGCCACTTAACGTGCAAAAACACCTGCTCTGTGTCCAAGTGCTTCCCACACACCTGGCATCGGAGGGAGACCCTGGCTGGGGGTACTTCTCACAGGGAAACAGCATCAAGACAAAATAACAATACTAGTAAAACACTGCTCAGGAAGAAAGAGGCAATCAGAGAGAGCGGAGTGGAAGAGGTGTAGTCGCATGTGGTGGGTACAGCTTAAGTGAGCAGAAATGCAGAAAGGGGCAGCCAGCAGGTGGCAGCATGTGCAGAAGCCCAGACCCTAGGTTGCCAGTATGAAGGGAGACACAGCGCTGGCTGCCCTGAGAAGATGGTGCAGGGGAGCAGGGGCATCCGGGTTAGAAATGTCACTGAGGACTGGACCATGAAGGTTTCAATCCCTGGAGCTTGGGAGGCGGGAACCTTACAGGTTCTAGAGAAGCAGAGCGGCTGGGACATACTGACCTGGTTGTAGTGCATTGTCACATACAGCTCGTTCTCAAACTTGAGTGGCTGATCCCAAAGCACGCGCCGGAACCAGAGCATGTAGCCCCCGTCCACCTGCTCCATCGCTGAGGCCACATCCAGAATGTAGGTGCGGCGGCTCAGGGGGCACACGTGCTGACCTGCAGAGTGGAGGGAGGCAGGGCTGGGCAGGCAGGCAGGGCACACACACTCCTGTGCTGAGCATGTGTGCAGACTCCAACCAGCCACGCAGCAAGGCATTGCCCAGGCATGCACCGTCCCTTGCTCAGTTTCTCACGAAAGAAAAGGGGATTTAGAAGAGTAAAGGCCTGGGACATTTTATTGAAATGCTGATGACCCGGATGGGAATAGCTTCCATTCAAAGGCACAAAGTAACAGGCCTTTTCTCTTGAGGGAGCAGTCTGAATGGTGCCTTTGAGGACAGCCTGCCCCTACCTAGGAAAGCAGCGCTGGGTTAGGCTCGGGAAAGTTTAGTCCCTTCCCAGAGGAGACTGGGGGTGAGGGAATGCACAAAAGACCTAGTGGGTGCCCTTCTGCAGAATCTTTCAGGAGAGACCCCTTGCAGGACCCCTGGGACCGTGGGGGAATGGAGGAAGAGGGGCCTGGCAATGAGGCTTGTTAGGGAGGCTTAAGGTTTTCTTTCCTGCACTGGTAGTTCGGCCAAGCACTCTACACTTCCAGGAAACTTCACTAAAGAGAGGGGCTGGGGTATGATGATGAGAGTCCTAGACTGGCAACCACAGGGTCTGGGCTCAAATCCCCAATGACGTGACCTTGGAAAAGTCACCTAACTTCTATGTCCACATTCTGTTCTAACCCCTGGGACCTGTGCAGATGTGATCTCCCATGACGAAAGAGATTTTGTGGATGTGACTAAGTTGAAAACAAAAACTAAAATAAAAACCTCACTGCCACCATCTGATTTGGACTCGATGTGACCCCTATAGGACAGAGCAGATCTGCCCCTCTGGGGCTTCCTAGGCTGTAAAACTGTACAGGAACCTCATCCTTCCCCTGCAGAGCAGCCGGTGGGTTTGAACCGCTGTCCTTGGGAACCGCTGTCCTCCCACATGTCCTCCATCCAAAAGAGCACAGAGCAGGCCTGAGGAACAGCAGGGGGCACCAGAACTAGTCCCTGTCCCCCAGGAGCTCCCAGTCTGTTAGGGAAACAGACTCTCACATCCAGCCAAGCAGAGGACACATTAGGGCTCGCAGTGCCCAGGGGACAGGGGAGAAATTTGATGTTGAAGTCCCCGTTGGGCAGCAGGGACTCTGATGGCTTTTCTCATTGAGTAGGAGGTCCTGTCACAGTAAGAGAGGCTCTAGTTCAAGATAAGAGATGTCCTATAGCAAAAGAGACATCAAAAGGGATGGAAGGAGGTGGAGATGGAGCGGGACAGGTGAAGGGCTGCCAGACACCTAAAGAGGCAAAGACGGTTCTCCCCACCATGTACTGGTCACCCTTCAGGTCTGGGTTCGAAGAGCCACCCATCGAAGATCAAAGGGGCCGTATTCCTCTGGGAGCAGAGGGTTGGGCGCGGAGGAGGGATGGAAAGAGGCAGCCCAGGAGGACCTGGAGCAAGGGCTGCTGCGTGGAGGGGACTGCAGTGGAGGAGCTGAAACAAAGTGGGTTTGAACCGCTGATGTAAAACTGATCAGCTCCACTGACCTGTACCCAAGTGACAATGAAAAGTCAAAGCAGAAGGTTCTCCCCGAGACGTCAGAGGAAGCAATACCTGCCAACAAGCACCTGCGTTCGGACTGCTGGCTTCCTGAACGGTGAGGCCACACCTTCCTGTCCCTTAAGGCCACCCTGTTTGTGAGAGCAGCCCTGGGCTACTAATACAGGCAACTGGGGCTTCCTGGAGGAGGTAGCCCTTGACCAGGCTGGTGGGAATGAGCATAGCGTGCCAAGTCCTCCTAGCCACCCACCTTGGTTGGTGACAATGAAGATAACGTACTCGTCGAAGGCCTCGGGGCGGGTCAGAGCCATCTCAGCGCAGATCTCCTCCACCACATCCAGGGCCACCTGGTGTGGGGTGGGTGGAAGGGAGTGGCCAGATCACAGGGTGGGCTGGACCACTGTGTTCCCAGGAGGCTGAGCGTGGAAGGCCTCACCTCTGAGAGCTGGGACCAGCCTCAAGCAGATAAGCTTTGAGGGTCCTTTATCGGTCTGCCTTTGTCCCTGACCTGGAGGTGTGATCTCTCCAGGCTGCGCTGCTCTTTGGAGCAATCGTTGCTGCCCCAGGAGGTTGCCACCCCCTCCCCAGGAGTCCTCCCAGAATCTGCCTGCCCAGGCTCTCACGTACGGTGCACGTTCTGATTTTGAGGTGGCGTTCCAGGCCTCCGGGAAGAAGGAAGAGTTGTCTCTTAGAACTCCTACCAGCCTAAGGGTTGGGGAGGCATGAGGGTCCCGAGTGGATCGTGTGCACAAGGGCAGTCGAGCAGGGTACATCTCATGCCCGCCGCCACCGGACCCCCACGCCCACCCCCAACTCACCAACATGGCCCGGAGCTCCATGCTGCTGGGGAGCTCCAAGCGGCCGCCGAACCGCACGGTTTTCTGCAGGTTCTGCTCACAGGCCTTGGCGATACCTGAGAGACCCAGATCAAGTCTCTTGGCCACCAGCCTAGCCCGGCCCTATTCTCCCGGTTTTAGAGTTGGGGAAACAGGTTTGTGTGAGAGGAGAGAGATTTGCCTGCGGTCTGGAGTGGGAGTTGGATTCAGAGAGGCACCTGGTTCCACTTCCCAGTAAGGTCCTTTGGTGATCGAAGACCCCTGGGCACACAGGACCCCAAGCCGCTACATGGAGGCCTTGCCCCCAGAAGCTGCGTGGCTGCAGTGGCCCCACAGCTCTGGTGACAATGGGACTCTGGCCCTTCAGATTGGGAGTCCCCTGGCCTAGCAACCCCCTCCCCCAGGCATGCCGGGGAGGCAAAGGTGAGCAGTGCCCTCCCCTAATCACTATGCTGGCCGAGGGGGAGAGTCATGAGTTCTCATTTTGCTGCCTTCAAGGAGCTGGGATCCCCTCTCTGGGCAGCTGCCTGTTCCTCCTGAGTCTGGGGAGGGTTGTTAACCAAATCAAAGATGAGTATTTCATGTGATCACAGGGGCCCTGGCTGACTTCTCTAGGGGACCCAACAGTTGCTGTGGAAACAACACACTGGGGAAGGGTTGAGACTCCACCACTGGCTTGGGGCCCACCTGCCCAGACCCACTTGAAAGCCTTGCAGATTGATCCCCCCAAGGCCAGAGATTAGGCTTCACCTGGCACCTCAGGCTCATGCCTGCCTTACTGCCCTCCCCTCCCACCTACCATACCCCCCTTGACCTCCAGGCTCTGCTCCTGATACGCAGCCCCCGGGCCCACCACCTACAACACACTGCCCCTCCCTGCTTTCTGCCACTTCTCACGGGCATGAAATGTGGCCAAGGCCCCAGTCCAGGGCTGGGCCCTCTGGGCTTTCCTTCTGCCTGCAACGCCCGCACCCCCGAGGGGAGAACCCACCACCCTGAGCGTCCCCTTGCTACCCACCTTGGAAGGGCAGGCCGGGGGCCTGGCTCGTGTTGTGCAGGAAGTGGAGGAGGTGTGGCTGGAAGACCTCGGAGCAGCTGTGGTAGGCAGCCAGGATGGACAGCAGCCGCCAGCCTCGCTGACAGCTGTCCCTGTGGGAGTGCCCCAGAGCCACGTCACCCTGGAGCGCCCTGCCAGGGGCTCTTGGGATCGGTTTGTGGGTTTCTAGCTCTCCGGCCTCTCCAGTCTTCCTAGCATATTCCTCCCTGCCCAGAGCTGTACACAAGGCATGTTTTACTTGGGAACCAGGGGAGCAGGGGTAAGCCCCTGGATATGCCTGCAACATAGGACACAGCCTTCCTAGGCTGGGGGACCTTGCAGGGGAGGCTTCTGGGACAAGGCCCTTGGAGGGGGACACCTGCTGGGCTTGTGAAGACATACCAGTTGGAAGACCTGGTGATGGAGACCCGGAGAGTGTGCTCAGCATCACTGAAGTCCCAGAGGGGAGGAGAGGAAGGGAGGAGGCAGAGGACTCCCCAGGGCAGGGGTTGACGAGGAGGAGGAGGGCAGCCCCTGGGACCAAGAGCCAGCCGAGAAAGCGAACCTCCCTGCCGTGGAGCCAGTTCCTACAGAGGGTTTCTGAAACTATGGGTTTTTACAGGGGCAGACAGTCTCATCTATCTCCCGTGGAATGGCTGCTGGGCTGGAACCACTGACCTTTGTGGTTAGCAGTCCATCATTCACCCAACAGCTACCAGGGATCAAGAGCAGAGGGCACCTGCCATGTGCAGTGTACTCACACCACCCTGGGTGTGAGGAGTCATGGGTGGGAACCTGTGGGGTCTGGATGGTGATTGATTAGTGCAGGTAGAGAGACATGTGCTGCAAAGCCCAGCCAATCAGCACTGTAGCCTCCAACCACTGTGATTGGTTCAGAGATAAACATGTGACCAAGCAAACCAATGAGGATCCTTCTGGGGTGCTGCCTGCAGATATCAGACCAGACATTCTTGCTGAACTTGTTCTTCCCAAGTTGGTGGACACCGGGCTGGGGCTGGGGCTGGGAGGTGAGGTGAGGGGTACGGGGAGGATTAAAGACCCAGCTCACTCACTGCTTGGTGCTGGCGTTGTCCGTGATCTGCTTCACAATTTGGCAGTAGCACTCGTCCCGCATGACCTCGTGGTCCCCACACAGCTGAAGGGGGGGTGGAGGGGCAGGACGCATGCCAGGGGCCATACCACATACCAGGCACACGAGAACATGGTGGGCACCTGGAGTCAGGATGGGTAGCCCCTCCCTCACCAGTGGGGACCACGGAAAAGCTTCCCACCTCAATGGCTGGGAACTCCGAGTGACCAATGAGGAAGCCAAGCCCCTGATCAGACTGACCTTCAGGAGGGTGCACAGCACGTCCAGCTCACTCTGGCCCTTCAGTGGGGCATCTCCCATGAACCTCATCACAGCTGAAGGGAAGACCTAGCCCACTCAGGCCCACCAGACCCCCAGCTGCACATCCCACCCCAGGGGGCCTCATCGTTGGACCCCTCCCGGGCCAGGGACACCGGGCAGGAACAGGGGACTGCAACAGTCTTAAAGGGGGTCCCACTGCATGAATTCCAGTGGAATTCTCTCTGAGGACCCGAGAGAAGTGGCGATGACCAACAAGCTGGGGCCCACCCTGCCCTCGCCCCATCCTCACACCTAAGAACATCTCCGTGGCCATCTTGTCGAGGCTGCTGTCGCTAAGTTCGATGAGGGATTCCTGGAGCGGCGTCTGCGAGGGCAGGAAGGGGCTGTGTCATGATGGGAGAGGGGACAAGAGGGGGAGGGAGGCCCGGCACTGGGGGCAGACGTTGGCCCGGGGAAGACACCAGGTCTCTCGCAAGTTTGGAGGGCGGAGTCTGAGGGCCAGGAGCCTTGTTGAAGAACAGGCGGTTTGCTCTTGGGCCCTTGAAGGGGCCTCCCATGTGACCATTTTACAGACTGGGAAACTGAGGCCCAGGGCTGGACACCTTAGTGAAGCAAAGCATATCCTCCAAGGTTCTGGACTCCCGGCCCTCCTTGCATTTCGGCTTAAGGCTATTCCTGCAACAGAGAGGGGTGAGGGGGCAGATGGCCGGGCCTGTTCAAGATCTTTGGCTACACCCCCCTTCCCACACAGGACACGCAGACCCCATCTTAAACCCATTCCTATCCCCCTGAGGCTCTGGCCTAATCGCAGCCTCAGCCGCCCACCAGAAGCAGGGCCTGAGATCTGGAGTCTGTAGCGTGGGCCACTGCCAGAGCCCCAGAGGCTCCCCCTTGGGCAGGCAAAGGGTGCGGGGGTGGGGTCTGCACTCACTGAGGTCTCCTCTGCGGGTCTCGGAAGTACTTCTGGGCAAACTCAAGCATAGTATGCTGTGGAGGAGCCAGAGCGCCCTCCTGGCGCTTAGGGGAGCCCACTCTGGGTGGAGGGCCCTGCAGGAGGGGAGTAGCTGCAGCTCTGGCACCCGGGCTGCCCAGCCTGCAAAGCCCCCCACCATCAAGGCTGGCCCCAAACTGCTCCCACACTGGCTACTCCCACCCTCTCTAGTAGGCCCTCTTCCCACCACACTCCAGCAGCCCCCACAAACCGTCCCTGACCCTGGCTAGCCCTGCCCTCACCCTAGTCTGTTTTGCCCTCTGCCCATCTTGGCCACACCCCCACCTGGACCTTCTCTGACCCATTTGCTCACATGACCCTATAGGGCAGGGTAGGACTGCCCCCTGGGGGGTTCTGAGACACACTCTTTTTTACTTCCTAATCGTTTTATTGATACAAAATTCACATATCATACACTCCCACTGTTGTCACTTTCAAAAAGAGTTGGTCTGTACTCATCAATCAGTTCCAGGGCATTCTCCCCACTCCCGCATTTATTATACACTCCCCCCAATTCTGCTCACCCCACCCCCCAATCCTCGATACACCTTTGCATCCACTCCTCCATTTCATAAAGTGGGAAGCATAACAGAAACAATAAAAACAAGGCAGAGGAAAATAAAGAGGAAGAAGAAAGAAAAGACTGCCAGTAATACTGATACTCCGGGGAGAAAACTTCTGCTGTGGAACAAGTGAGAAATATTTAAACCTAGAGCAAATTCAGTACGTGTCATGAGGGGTGCCACCATAATCGAGTTGACAATAATCTGATGGCAAAACTTTTCCCGTCCCCCCGACCGGCCACAGGGATCCGACTGGGTACTTTGCAATGGATTTTGGGCTCCCACCATCCTCCGGAGCCTGCTGCAAATCCGGTGTTCCGAACTCAAGCTCTGAAACCTTCATCATATTTGGGTTTTGCTTTTGTCATCTTTGGCTCACACAGGCTGGTGCTTCGTCCACACGGACTCAGTGGCCGCCTCACTTAGATAGGTGCTTGTTTGAATACAAGCCTTGAAGGCCCCAGACACAATGGATGAGGCTGTCACTCTTTATGGGAGTAGAAAGCCTTGTCGTTCTCCTGAGGGGTACCTGGTGGTTTTGAACTGCTGACCTCCGAGGTGAACAGCCCATATCATAGTCACTATGCCACCTGGCCCTTCTCTGCCTTAATCCTCACTGCCATCCAGTTGATGCCCCTCTCAGGGTAGAGCTGCCCCCATGAGCTTCCAACTGTAAGGAGGAGTGGAAAGCCCGTCTTTCTTCCGTGGAGCAGCTGGTGGTTTTGAACACTGACCTTTGCAGATAGGAGCCCGATGCATAACCACTTCACCTGGGCTTCCTTCCACAGGCCTGGGCCTGGTCACCCCATTGACTCTACCTGCTGGCCAGCCTAGCCTCCTCCAGGCTTCCCATCAGCCAAGTAACAACCACCTGGATCTCAGCCAGCTGACCGACTAACCACGGCCCTGCCCTGCCCACTCTGATCTCACCCTGTGGGCCTGAAGGTCAGGGGGACCCCACCCTACCACAGGCCGGGTCCCCCTAGCTGGCCTCACCTCTCTCCAGCGGCCCACCTCCTGAGCAGCCACGGAGGAGGCCACAGCAGCGGCCACGGCGGCGGCCCGTCCCCTGCCTGGCTCAGCGGGCAGCTGCAAGAAGTCTGGGGCGGCTGCAGGTTGCACCAGCTCTGAGGGGAAGCGGCCCACACGCCCATGGCTGGTCCCGAACCTCCAGCCTAGGGGCAGATGAGGGGTCTGAGGCAAACAGGAAGCAAGCGGTGCCCAGAGAATGCGGTGGGAACATTTGGGATTTTGTATATGGATACTCCCTAACGCTCCAGGCTCAGGGCGGGGCCAGGATTGGGTTGAAGCCAAAAGTGGTGGTGGGCGGTGGAGACAGACTCAGGCGGGCAGGAGGCAGAGCCAAAGGGGGCTTCTTTGGGGCTCCAAGAAACTCCCCTTTTCGTACTATAGTGAGTACATAAAACCAAACCAGCACCAGCCCTGTTTGGGGGAGGGGTTCAAATCTGGGGGTGAGAGAGACTGGACAGGGGTATCCCCATCTCCCCACCAAAGTCGGGGCCTCCACGCCGCAGCTCCTCCAGGTACACGACCTTCTTGCGGACCACGCAGCCAGCGCTATAGCCTGTGGGCCAAGCTATGTCAGCACGTTCCGGTGCACCTTGCCCAGCCCCCCTCCTGCACCCACCCCACCCATATGGTGCTGACCCACTCGGGGTGGCTCCAGGGGCTGCAGATGGATGATGTCACCCTTGTGGAAGGCCAGCAGGGCCGGGTCCTCAGGTAGGAAGTTTCTCACGGCCACCACATAGTCCGAGTCCTGGGTCAGCAGGGCCAGGGTGAGGGGCTGGAAGCCTACCCCCTGCCCCTGGCCAGGACAGGAAAGGAAGCATTCCCAGGTCATAAAGTCCCAAATGTCTTTGACTGCTCACTCACTGTCTTCAAGTTGAACCCGACTCATAGTGACCCGATCAGGCAGAGCAGAACTGCCCCTGTGGGTTTCTGAGATTGTAAATTGCTACAGGATTAGAAAGCTTCATTTTTCTCCCACGGGGCAGCTAGTGGTTTTGAACTGTGGACCTTGTGGTCAGCAGTCCAAATGCATAACCCACCCTGCCACTGAGGCTTCTTTATTTGGCCTACTGCCCCATTGTAAGGGGTAAAAAACTGTGTGGCTTTTTTTCCCACTCAATGACCCACTAGCAATGAAAAACTCACTACAGTGGCAATTAAGGGCAAAGTGTAGATATCTACTTTTGCAGCGTCCCTGGGCCATTCCAGCACCCCTAATGCGGTACTGCCCACTTTGGGAAAAACTAAGCCAGGGGACAGCCGGGACAGAAAGACGGAAACACGGAAAGCAGTGTGGCGTGGTCCGAGAGGGGGGAGCTGGATGAAGGCGATGGCTAACAGGCCTAGCACTGCCACAGCTTCCTCCTGTGGCTTTCCCTGGACCAGGCACCAGGGGACCCACTCGAGGTCGGGGGCTGCAGCCTGGCAGAGGGAGGATGGGATACGGTGGTCAGGCAAGGGGTCAGGGCAGGGGGGAGGAAGCCAGGATGGCCCAGGCCAGCCCGAGGAGGCCAAGAGGCAAGGGTTACTAAAGGAGCAGGCAGAAGGTTGAAAGGGCGTCTAGGCCAGTGGCCCAGCCTGTGCAGAGGGCAGCCAGAGGTCATGGGTGTGTCCTTGGCGCCGTAGCACACGATCATCAGATCATCGTGTGTCCTCAGGGAGGTGTGGCTGGTATGTGTGTATGTGGGGTGGGTGGATTCCTGATCTTTGGGGTGGAGCCCGGGGGAGGGTCTTGACCTTTTTGAGCTCCAGGATGAAGTCGTCCACCAGGGTCTTGACCTGGTGAGCTCGGGCTGAGAAGAGGATGACCTTTTCGCTGGCCAGGTTGAACTCCAGCATGTTCCGGGAAGGGATGGTCACAAACAGGATATCGGCAAAGCTGGGGTTTGGGAGGTCAGCATGAGGGGGGCTGCTGCTCTCGTCCTTCCCGCCCTTCCAGCCCAGCCCCAACCCCAACCCCAACCTCCCGGATGCTCTCAACCTCATCATGCCAGCCCCCAGGAGACCCCGAGCAACTTCTCCGACCTGCCTGTGACTCCAGCCCCATTCCCTGCTGTGGTCTGAACCCCACATGGGAGTCCTTGTCCCGTGACTCAAGCTCTCAGTTGCTGCTGGGCAGGCCTGGCTCCTGTACCTACGGCCCCGACTCTCTGCACCCCTCGCAGGGTGGTGGGGACACACTGGGCTGCTAAGAAACCACCAGCGGCTCTGTGGGAGAAAGACGGGGCTGCTTTCTACTCCCCTAAAGAGTTAGTCTCAGAAACGAGGGGCTGTTCGCCCTGTCCCCCAGGGTCACTGGGAGCCGGCACAGACTCGATGGCAGAGCTTGGCTGCTTTGGGGAAGGAGCTTCCTGGTGAGCAGGGCTCTGCTCTGTCCTCATGTGATGGAGGACACAGAGGCGGCTGCAGGGAGGGGCTCCGGACCTAAGCACGGCCCCCAGGGCCAGCACCCCTTCCCGTTTCTGGCTGCCTCAAAGCACGGCTGTCCCAGGGCAGTCACCCCACAGCCCCATGCGCTCTGGCCGCACAGAGCGGCGGGTAGCCTGAGAGGTGGGAAGGAGTGGGTGGCGCCTAGTCTACTTCCTGGCCGTGTGATCTAAGACAAGGAACATCTATCTCCCTGAGCTTCAGTCGCCCCATCTCTAAAACGGGCATAACTGAAAGACCCCGCACATCAGAGGTACGCGTAAATGGCTACTAAGGGAGTCAGTCTGTGCCCCAGCTCCAGCCTGGCCACTCCTGCTGCCTGCCGGTCACCTGTATGAGCGGAGGACCCGAAGCTGCCCACCAGCCTCTCGGCTGCCCTTGACCATCCGCAGCAGCTTGATGCCCAAGTGCGACACAGCGAGGCCCTGCACGCCTGTGCCCACGCTGCCCTGCACAGGGTGAGAGGCGTGTGAGGGTCTTTCTGCCTTGCAGCGGCGGAAGGCCTGAGTGGGATGGGTGCGGGGAGGGCTCGCACCGTTGCAGGGAAGAGGCGGGAGAAGTAGACCTCCCAGCTGTCCCGGGCTGTGCTGACCACGGCCCGCTTCACCCTCTCCGTCACCAGGGGCCGCTGTGTGTCCAGCTGGTTCTGGGCTAAGGGAGGCCAGGTGGAGAGATGAGGCCCCTCCTTCCACCCCAGTGGCCCTCACCCGTCGTCATCGGGGAATATGACACCCAGCAAAAAGGTATCAGCCCAATGAGTTCTCATCTTAACACTGGGAATCGGAAACCCAGAGCCTGGATGGGGGTGGGGTTGAGGGGTAGGGCCCAGCCATGCTGAGCAGGGAGCAGGTACTTGGGAGGCAGGTGGGCAGGGCCAGGGCAGGCAGTGGCCTAGGCTGCTCTCTCCCTCCCCTTCCCTGCAGTACCAAACAGGGCCTTCATCCTGAGCCGCTCGTCCTGGGAGATGCGCAGGCAGGCCTCAGAGAGCGTGTCATGCAGGACCTGTGGTGTAGGAGAGCCATGGTGGGGCCGTGACTCCCCTCCGGCAGTGGGGCGTCCTCTGTGTGACCTACAGGACCTCACTCTGGGAGCAGCTCAGGGAAGCGAGATGCCCACTTGGGCTGAGCTCCCTTCCCCATCTCTCCCTCTGGCCCTGGGCAGCGAGGACAAGCTGCAAGTCTGGTTAAAGCAGACTGTGGGCTCTCTGACCCTGTCCACCGAGGGGGGATTCCAGAGAACATCCCCCACCCGGCCCAGCATCCCAATCCCAGATCGTGGGGAGCAAAGTTTGCAAAGGACCTCCCTGTCCCCTGAGGGGTGTGTCCTCTGCCTTCAGAGGAGACCGAAGCCCAGAGGGAAGAGAGGGCCTCACCTGCCGGAACAGGAGGTCGAGCTGCACAGGGTGGTTGTAGCTGTCCTTGGGGTAAAACACCTGTGGAGCGGGGCTTCAGGGAGGGCCCTTCAGGCTACCCTTCCCCCTCACCACAGGTCCCACCCTCTGGTGCCCCCAGCTCTGTCCTCTGGTGCCAGACTGTGCCCTGGCTACATCTCCTGGCTCCCCTGGGCCGGTACCTCTTTTCTCAGGAAGACCCGCCAGGGCGCATCCCGGTAGCCGTAGAAGTCGGGGTTGGTGAGGCGGTGCAGTCTGGTCTGCACAGGCTCCTCCAGGGCCTCCAGCGACCGGGCGGGCAGCACTAGGGGCAGGCACGCAGGCGGGCGCAGCTAACCACGAGGGCGTACACTGCCACCGCCCAGGCCCTCGATGAACACACACATGCGCAGTATGCACAGTGCACTGGCCGAGGCCAGGGACCCGAATACCCTGGTGAACAGGGTCGACAAGGAGCCTGGCCTC